CCTGCTACATGTGAATTTAGTGAAAACGAAAATCGTGTTTAGCTTCGGTCTGCAGCTTCCGGCCAGCAGACTAGGCTGCGCAGGGCAACATGCCCTTAGGATGTCGATCTGACAACAAGTTGAAAGCTTGCCTCTCCGCCTAATTACTGCAAATTGAATGCAAGCGAACGAAGGAGAAAAGAACTACCATCTACTAAGGAATACCAACCTGGTCGTCTCACCACATTTTGGATACAGATAGAAGGATCCTCATCATGGAATACATATTTGTCGCTGGATATTCCGGCTCATCCCCGAGCGTGCGTGGCAAGCGACAGAGGGCCGTAGAGAAGACTTCGGAGTGGCGACGCCACGAGCGGTGATATGAATTGCTCTCCTTCGATCGCGCGCCCGCTGATTCGTTCGTCGCCGCCGCCGCTTCCGCGGTACCTTCTGCTAGGATCAAAACTCCGCGGACCGATAGCGAAGGCATATAGTTTACGAAGTCTGCGGATAATTCCAATACCTATAGCATCGTCATGTGATTTGACGTTATCGCATTCGTTTAGCGAGGTGGTAGTGATATGCTGTCACAGCTAAACCTTGCCGACTTTGAATCGAGGTGAGCGATTGATGAGGTGGAAGAATCAATCAAAGGAGAATGTCAAACTGCCGGCTTGCATCGGTGAAAAGGCTGTTTGGATACTAGGCCACAATCTAGTCAAATAGAAACTGCTCCCTAGACCAAGCTGCTCCCTCTCGAATGATGGAGAGCAGGCGACGAGGCGGTAGAAACGTCGACGAGAATTCAATATTCATTCATGCATTTCGTTTCGGTCATATGAAAAAAGGGGGTGGAAGCCCCGCGCTGAAAGGTCGATTCACGACACTCTTCACGAACGATCAGACGTCAATTATCCCAAATGAATAAAAAATTGAAAAAGGCATTCCTCCCCCTGTTGCCGCTGAAAATATATTCGAAAATACATGAGGCTTTTTCTCTTCGACATCTCTATTAAGGCGAGCGTGAGAAACCAGGAGTTGAGGGTGGGAATTCGCTGGAACATGACATGTCGACTTATTCTTCCTCGAAAAATATTAGACTCGTGTCGAGCTCCGATCCCTTGCCGGCACTCCCTAGTCCAGAAGGTCCACGAGCCCCCGAGTAGAGCGAGGGAATCCGAGGATCCCTTCAGGAGTGTTTCTTGGCAACTTTAATGGTGATCTGTGGAGTACAGATTGAGAGGCTTATGAAGAGCTTGGGATCTCGTTGGCAGGACATAATCACACGTGTGATTATGATTATAATCATAGTCATAGTCATAGAAATCACCGTAATCACACGCATTCGTATGATTCGGGGGCATAATCACACGTGTGATTATGATTATAATCATAGTCATAGTCACAGAAATCACCGTAATCACACGCATTCGTATGATTACAATCCTAATCACACGTGTGAATATGATTTTAATCATAGTGATAATCACAGAAATCACCGTAATCATACGCATCCGTATGATTATCGTATATCGTCAGAGTCATAATCATACGCATAAAAGTTGTTATGATCATAATCATGCGCACTCGTGTGATTACGGCCATAATCATGTGCATGTCTGTGATTATAATCATAATCACATCATGACTATAATCATACGCATGCGTATGATGACGGTGATTTATGTAATCATGATCACGTGTGATTAGGATTGTAATCATACGAATGCGTGTGATCACGGTGATTTCTGTGACTACGACTATTATAATAATCATAATCACACGTGTGATTATGATTACGGTCATAATCATACTCAAGCGTATGATCACGGTCATAATCACGGCCAAAATTTGCCCAACACTGGCGACATTCCTTACCGTTTTGGTCTCCACATATTCATTGATTCCAGCGTAGCCCCTGTGAGAGAAGGCTATTTAGCGAGGTCGTTCCCTCAAGTTTGCTCGAGTCGAGGTGGACTTCTGACAACGGGATTCGGTTTCGTCGGAAAATATTGAACTCACAATTCGCGACCGTGACCACTTTGCTTGTAGCCGCCGAAAGGTGTCTGGACCGTCGATGCATCGTAGCAATTGATCCAAACCGACCCAGATTGGACCCCCTTTGAAACGATCGCGAGTTAGTGCACGTCGCGTCGCGTCGTCGCCAGTCCGTTGTTTCGAATATTATACTCCTGAACCACGTCGTATTTATCTTTTTGCTTACCTGCGCGAATTCAAGAGCTCTGTCGATGTCCTTCGTGAGGATTCCGGCTCCGAGGCCGTATCTGGTATCATTACTCCGGTCGATCACCTCATCCATCGTTGAGAACTTCAGGATCTGCTGCACAGGCCCGAAAATCTCCTCACGTGCTGAGGAAAAATTTTGATTTCCTAATCCATTCTCCTCGATGGTGCCTCCCTTGCCATCTCGCTCTCGATGCGATACGGTCCGGCTTCGAATGCTCAGAATTCACGGTCGGTCATCGTGATTTCAAGCGGTGAACGCGTAGAAATGGAGACCCACCGATTCTCATGTTATCCGTGACGTCCGCGAAAACCGTCGGTTCGATGAAGAATCCTTCACCGGGAGCTCGCTTGCCTCCCGCGACACATTTAGCGCCCTCTTTTTTCCCGCTTTCAACGAGCTCCATGATTCGTTCTGCTTGTAGCGCACTGATCTGAGGGTGGGAGGTAAGCTCGAAAAAAGTTTCGCTTTGAAGCTCCGAAGAGCGTGGAGACTTCGAACTTATCCAATACGTCGGTGAGACCGAATTTATCGCACCTGAGGACCTTGAACAACCTCGGGGTCGAACGGATCTCCGACTTTCCTTTTCTCGGCCAGAGCTTTCGCTTTCTCGACGAATGCGTCATAGATGCCTGAGTTGAAGATTACATGTGTGTACATAGATTCGCATTCTGGACAGATCATCTGCATCGCCTCGCGAGATCCAGAACCGATAAAGAAATCGCGGGAGCTGTGAGAGCGCGCTCGCACCCAGTGTCGGGGAACTGATTCTCGTGTGTTCGGAACGCCGGGGGAGAGCCATGACTTTACCTTCATGAACGTATGTTCGCGTTCCAGCGCAGCAACATTGACCCATGTTGGCGAACACCGCGTTGTGGGCTATCTCAACGGCCTCATCGAGGTCGACGTCGCCAAAGATCACAAGAGGACTCTTGCCTCCAAGCTCGAGAGTGACTCGCTTCAAATTAGATTCTCCGGAAGCGCTCTGAATCAGGCGTCCCACTTTCGTCGACCCAGTGAAAGCGATCTGAAACGCGACGGAGATAGATGAATGAATTTCGCCTAGAGGATAGGCGCGCTGATACATATATGTACGACGCCATCACGCAGCACGAATGAAAAATAACGTCATTTTCGATTCACATGCACCTTGTCAATGTCGTCGTGCATCGCGATGGCTCTGCCTGCAGTCGGCCCGTAGCCAGGGACGATGTTGACAACCCCGGGAGGGAAGCCGGCTGCCTGGAAATTGATTCCCGATCGAATGATGAATATCTATATACCGGGAACGCTCTCGATTCTCATCTGACGTGACGCGACGAAGTCATCAGGGAGGTACCTTTATGAGCTTGCCCAAAACGAGAGCTGACAGAGGCGTATTCTCCGATGGCTTCAGCACGCAGCAGTTTCCAGCGGCAAGAGCGGGAGCCAGTTTCCATGCTGCCATCAGAATGGGGTAGTTCCACTTTTGGGACCGGGCGGGAACGGATCAACACTCATTTTATTCGAATCGACCAATATAGCTCTCAGTCGGAAATGATTCCGAAGAATATCAGGCGACAAGGCACTCACGGGTATAATTAGACCGCAAACCCCGATCGGTTCGTGACGAGTCATGCTGATTACGCCCCCATCTGTTCCGGGAAGTCGATAGAATAGAGGAATTTTTCTCATTGCGCATTTCAGCTCTTCCATCCAAACCTAGCGATATGACTCGCGGCAATGTCTACCGCATGCGCTTCCGAGAGATTTTCTTCACCTGCAGGGATGGTTTTCCCGTGGATTTTGTCACTCCACCCAGCGTAATACCTGAAGGTCGCGATAGTACACTCGACATCGAATTCGGCTTCAGCTCGAGGTTTCCCCGCATCAAGAGCTTCCAGGTCCTAAGAATTTGAGGCCTCAGAGGTTATATGCCTAAATGACAGTTTGAGGACTCTCATTGATCAGGAGAATATTATGGGAAATCTTCTCAGCGAAATCGCCCTCACAGCAAAATACTCTTTTTCTTCGACAATGAGGTCGGCCAATCTGTGGATCGCCGCGCCCCTCTCCGAGGCGTCGCAGGTTCTGTGGATAAGAGGAAAAATATCAGACCCCTCATCAGGTCACTTCGACTATCCCAATCTCTTCAGCAGCATCACTTTAATGAATCCGTGATCATCCTCTGAAAAGAGCCGCATGAAAGCATACCTCCACGGCGAGTCCCGTTTGAAGGCCGCTCTGGCAGCAGCGACAGCGAGATCCACATCCGCAGCATCAGCCTCGCTAACCTGAAGAGTACGAGAGAAGATTTGGATGATTGAAAAAGTCACCCCTCAGCCTGCGTAGACCGTCGTGACTGCTGATCGGTTGTAGATAGGTGTTTCCTCATCCTCCTAACTGGAATCCAAATCCACGATGGCATCTCCCTTCCACATCTTCGGGAGTCCTTCTCCATCAATCAGGATAGTCCGCTCGCTTCAGAATTATGAGGGAAATAAGAGCTGAGGAAGGAGACCGCTGGATCTGCTTGCCGTGACGGACGCCCAGCGAAGTCCGTCGAGATATCCGGAAGTTGAACATAGCATGCTGAATGCTCCCGGACGGACAGCGAATTCTATACCGAAAAAGTCAGGAGCATCGTTCGCTTGCGTGTACCTCTCACAGCTTGACAAGCCCAAGAAGAGAGGTCTCAAGATTCTGATCGTTTAAGGAGCGCCGCGGAAGGAGTCGTACACGAAGATCACGTTGTTTTCACGACGACGTTCCTGCGCATTTTCGGCTCGACGAAGGATCCGTCGCTTATCAGGATGCTGTGGCCGCCTGAACTCTCTCAATGCTGCTTTCGATCATCGCTTGGGATCAGAGCGAAGCGGGATCATCTTGGAGCTCCGAGTTTCGGGGCATGTTTTTCGATATACGTAAACCAGGCGCTACCTCAGAGCCCGAGACGTTGGGTAAATATGGAATGACTACGGGGATGCGGGGAACTCCGACGAAGTCTTGGCGGTATGTTGAGTATATCCCTTCGAGTTCCTCAGTTGGCGCACTATTCGTCTGCCGAGCTCCAATAGTCATGCACCAGGACTGACTAGAATTCTCGACTTGTAACATGAGGCCACACAATCATACCTCGGTGATCACTTCTCCTGTTGTTGGATTGATCACGTCGAGTGTCTTCTTCGAGACAGCGTCCACGAATTCATTGTTGATGAAAAGCTTAAAATGAAGGATCGGGCCATTCTTATCACATTTATCAGGCGACCATGAAGTACTCATCCGTCTCCATCGGCAGGAATGGGGACGCAGACTCCACATACCTGGGTGTGAAGGATTGGTATGCGGCGATGCATGATTTCGTGGAAGCTTGGTGACGGAGAGGATCTGGGAAAATTGAAGTTTCCACTATGGGGATTCGAATGCAAATCCAACGGGAGTCAGTAATAAAAATACGGAACAATCATTTTGACTCCCGAAAACGTGCGCAGGATGGCGGAGTCGGCTCCTGGCGATTCCTGAACACAGCCACGGATGCTCTCATAATTTGGGACGGATGATTAGAACAAAAAGTTCTCGACTTACTTTCGAGGAAGTCCACAATCGAATGAGTGCGATGCTTTCCCCCGCTTAGCAAGGCTCGATCGAACACAATCAACCTGAGACTGATTGGGTGTGCTTCGAGATAAGATCGCCGTAGGACAATCGGTTTCCTCACACGCACGAGAATCCCACCGATTTGTGGCGCCAATGTCACGGCTGACTCACACTGAGTGAGTCTCTGACTCTCATCGGAATCTGAGTAGCGGACAAAGCCTCTCTCAGAGTCGTAGAGGGAGGGGAACACGAAGCTGCCAGCCAATGCTACCACAGTATCTGATTGTGCGATTTATCAATAGACAGCCTCTCCACCATCACGCGGGAGAAGCAGGGATCCAAACAGAGAATTCGAATTAAGAAGAAGAGTACGAGCAATCATTGATAATTCTGAGTAAGACAGAACAGATACTCGTAGACGCCGGGAACCTATGGGAAACCGGCGAAAAGGAAAAGCTTCAATACCTCCGAACATCATGATTCCTTCCGATGGAGAGGGGACGATTTTCAGCCATCGGTGAACGGAAAAATTCTATGCTTCGCTTTAGTCTCGCGAGGCATAGAATCTCACTCTTGGCTCTTCCACTCTCGTGGGGTGCAGCTTGCCGTCGGAAAATGCATGAAACGGGCATTTAGGCATCACGAGATCCCGCGGCAAGTTCCAAGTTTGCTGGACTCTGCACGACTCCTCCTGTCTCCGCCAGACCATCCGAGCCCCCCTGTTGCCGCGAGAGTTTGCCCTAGAAGCAGGGCCACGGCGGAACACCTGCATGGAGCCAGCGATACAGAGGCTCATCCGGAAAGAGCAATTTCAGGCGGCACAGATCCCGTCTCGCGTTTCCAGGCCCCCAGCGGATACTCGAAATTAGGGCGTACCTTCTCCGAGTTGCCTCTCGACAGTCACAAGAGGGGGTCTTCTCTCGAAAACGGAGGAGCTCTTCTCGTCGGAGAAAGTCTCTTCGAGAAACTTCTATGGAGACTCCAGGAGCGATCAAGCTCGATAATTGGCAGAAAAACCAGAACCGTGGCTCGAAGCCATGGTATCTGGTTATGGTGGGTACAAATGCTTCGAGGCAATAGCTATGGTTTCCCAATGGGCGCCAGTGGAGCTTCGCGGACCGGGGCTCTCATGAACGAAGGAAGCTTTTGCGCAAGATACATGATGAACGTGCTGGGAGGCTCTCGCAGACATCAGTTCATATTCTTGCTCTCGTTACCCGCCCATAAGGGATTTTTCAAGATGGTTGAGTTGATAGCCGATCGGAACGGAACGGTGTCATCCTGCTGACCCATCAGCAAGTCCTCTGTGAGCTGCGAGAAGCTAGGTGAAGAGGAAGATCGCGGAAAAATAACTTCCGGATTCATAAGGAGGGGCGAGCTCATGGTGACGGCCGCCTCAGGGGAGTCAAGTGTTATGAGTTATGAATATCCCAGATCCAACTCTCGATATCCTCATCAATGATCTGTTATCTCCGTGTCATTGTGTGATATTGAATACTCGCCCGACGCATGGCTCCGGGAGATGGTTTCCGCAAGCATGATTTGCGATTCTTAGCCGCAGAGTGAAATTGGCTCCGACAATGAGGTCAATGTCTCTTGCGGGGGGTGAGCTTCTCAACAGCATACGGACTTGGTAGGGTTTGGAGGTGCGAGGCTCCGTAGATAGAGGTCGTCAGGGCTCGATTTATTCGCCATTCCATATCTCATATCTTCCTAAATCGGATGCCTCGCTCCAGCAAATCCGCTTCGTCCATCGCTCGGAGCGCACCGGGAAGCCCCCAGTGTAGGTACTTCGAAGTCACGGAGACCCGACGATGTAGTCGCGGTCTCCGAAAAGCTCTTGACCAGAAAGCCGGAGGATGCTCATTTGGGGGCTAACGTCTCGGTGCGATGAGCCCTCCTACTTCAGATTCTCGATCGAGTCGGCTGAAGAAGTAAGCAGCCCTTCGACCTGATCGAATGCAACATATGTGCTAGCGACGATTGGGAAGTGGCCTACCGTGGAGAATTCATTCACCTTCAGAGAATCGAAGCTGAAGAACGAACAATCGAGGCAAGGCAATACGACCAAGGTTGATGAGGTCATCGGATGGACGGAGAACGGATGATCGAGATGCGGGAGAAGTGCGTCTTGGAAACATAGCGGCGGATTGGTGAAACGAGACGTCGCGACCGATTGGAGACAGGGAATTGTTGAAACAAACATTTAGACATCAAGACTCGTGGTCGAGAACCGGCCGACGAAGTCCGAAAGGCTAGGAGGAACTCGTTTCTACCCCAACCGCGAGCGGTCTGAGCCACTCCGCGCCATCCCATCTCGGCTCGAAGCAAAACAAAGAAGGACGGCGGTCGTGGAAATTCAAGCACGAATCACGAAACCCGGATGTTATTATCGAGGTGTACGATTATTTCTGCGAGGTAGAAGAAAAGATTCGATGACTCGGAGAAGTGTCGCTTTGCACTCTTTCGAGTGGAACAAATTGCTTTTTTATGGCCGCGGCCTGAATCGCTCTCGAATCGCTGCTGCTGCTGCCGCCGCCGCCGTTGTTCGAGAAAGCCAAATCAGTCGGCATCGATCGATGGCATTGATTTTTGTCGAGGACGAATTCTTCTCTCTTCCAGACTCTCCAGCTCCCTCTAATTTGTCGGCCATTCTCAGCTCGAATTGTTGCACAATGACTGCGAAATCAGTGGGTTGATTGTGTAAATCGGGGCTCATGTTTCACCGGAGTTCGTCAGACCCTGGATTCGGCGATTCGTGTCGTTCATGTCGACTGGCTGATCTGGCTTTTCGATCGCGGATTTCGCTCGTTATTCTTCTTCTGCTGCTGCCGGTTGTTTGGTTGGCTGTCTTTCGTCGTCATCGTCGACTTGCTGATTTATTTTCGAGGAACGAGTGTTGTCGATGCATGATTTGATCGGCAGGCAAGTCAGGCGATCCCAGTGATTGAAAGCTACCCGAAGGGGCAGAGAGAAACCTCTCGAGCGCTCGTCGAAATATGATTAGCGCATCGTCTTGCGGAAGAACGAAACGTTCGAGGGAATGGACGATGGACGGATGGAGAGACGGACGGACAGACGGAACAAAGGCTGCCTACTACCAAAGCGGACCACCCCGATGAGTGAGTGTGAACAGCAGTACTTGAGAGGAATTCGCTACGGACTTCAATGCTAACAAATGAGTTCCCGTACAGGATGCCCGTTACTGGGACCTCGAACATTATTTGAACTTCTCGATGTCCCGACTGGTCGAGGTCGGAGATCGCACGTCGGTCACACAGCTCGCGGTGTCCGGATCCTCGGGATACCTCCGCGAGGGATCTCGACGCCTGATCATGAAATTCGTTCGTTTTGGGGAAAGGGAGAACGCTGACTATCCCTCAATCTGCGATATCGCCGGGGCATAGCAAATTCTAATCAAGTTCGAGCCTTTGCGAAGAGGGGGAGGCACCCATCAGGCCGTACGGACGCGCTGGTCCGTAATTCGAAGTTGGTAGTTTCCCTGGCTCCTGCCCGAATGCTTCTCCGGTACCTGCCGCTGCCGTCTTAACGAGCAAGAGAATCGGGGCTTCACGTCGGAACTGCCTCAATCTCAGCGTTTTCTGAATGAACGTGATGCTACGCGTCCATTCACTAGTTCTGCCTCGTATGTGGTTGTGTGTGTGTGGCGCCAAAGCGGCTCAACGACTTCGAGGAAACGGACCTCATGCTGCTCGTTCGACTGACTGAGGTTCTTGAAGACATTCGGTTTTCGAAAACCGAACTCTTCGTTGAAGAAATTTCAGTTTCTCACTAAGGTCATAAGGCATCCCTCGATGCTCAATTAAGACTGGGTGAGCTACAGCCCCCGAGGACGATTAGGTGTTCCGTGGCCCGGGATTCTCCGACGAAAATTTCGAGGCGCCTGGGCAAAGTTGTAAAACACAGCCAGGAGCATCTCGAGGGCGAATCTCTATACTTCTTGAGTTCTGAAATCAGATTAGGCTGTGGCACCTATTCAAGTTTAGGAGCTGAACTCTCAAGTGGAGAGCTTTCGAGCACTCTGTCGAACGATCATCGGCGCGGCGAATGAAACGCCTCTCGCGATCCTAGTCAGCTTCTCTGGCCGAAGTCGTCGTTGTTGTTCCCAGATTTCATGAGTTAATAGCTCTGCGGAAGGCTCCGGACTACAGCTGAGCGAGCTCGTAGCCGATGCTTGCCCGTGGGAGCGGTCAATTGTTTACCGGAATTATGAAATCCATCTCTTAATCAAAGCTGTCGGATCTGCAGGGCTCCCGAAAAGATGTTCATCCCGTCAGCCGCGGAGGAGAAGAAAAATGAACGATGGCCATTGAGACCTCAGTCAGCAGCCACTAACCAAGACATATATTGTTCGTGGGTCTTGAGAGAACTCCGATGCCGTCGATCGCTTCCGCTGCCTCCATAATTTCGAAGAGCAGCTTAGCCTTCTGTTGAATCGTCCGAACTCGGGAATATCCTAAACGGCGGAATGATCGACTCTCGTTAGATTCGCAGCAGAAATCGTTGCTGTGTGAGGCTGTTGGAGTAGAAGCGAGAAAATGTTGATAATTATAGCTTTGATTGATGCCTTAATAGACAACTGAAGCAGCAGATGCGAATGGAGATTGACGAGTTCATCTCGTCGTGAAGACGCTCCCCAGGATTCGCCGAAAGCGAAGGTCATGACGCTCCATTTGAAATCATGTCTCCACTGTTTCTCTGATGCTCTCGAGCTCTTTCATCTGAGCTGACTCCGATCGTCGCTCCGTCCGTCTGTCGATATGAATGCTTGTCTGTCCTTCAATGCGTTGATCAGGGTGTCCGATCGTAAAGTCAACCCTCGAGTCCTCATTGAATGTGCTCCTCGTCGGCTTCTTCAAGCCCATAGAATAAGCCACGCTAAATGTATAATGTTTAGGTAATTATGGAAAGCTTTGCTCGAGGTCTATTCTTTCAGATATCCCAATGGAATGTCGTAATCCAATTCCGGATCACCGGCGCTTCTCCGATCAGACTGGCGCTCGTTTCGATGTTCCCGCTGTCGGGACATCTGAGAAATCAAACGGAAATGATCAACGGACGGAAGAACACTGATCCAATCGCCGTGATTCGTATCTAAGATCGATTAAGATGAAGCCTCCCGCCGGAGTTGGAGTTTTCGATTTCCTCGGCCCGCCATGTTAGCATAATATGCATTAACACGTACGGCGGGACGTTCTCGCTCAATTCTATTGCCGGAGGCTTCGACCT